CTGTAATTAAGAATCATCTTTGAATTTGTTTATATTAAATCGTTTAAACACAAATTATACGGTAGGTAGTTACTAGTTACCAGTTAAATTATGAAACAGATACTAATAAATCATATAGATTTAAGAGTTGAACGAAAATATAATGAAACGGTAAAGAAATAAATCTAAGAGTCTATTTGAATACGAGATGAATCTATTTAATTTAAATTTATTAATTGCAGGTAGTTATTGTATAAACACAGCGACAAAACTGTAAGTGTTAGGAAAAAACTAATAAAATGTAATTATCGCCTAAAGAAATCTAAACAAGAAAGATACCTAGCTAGGATCAATGTAATTAATTGAGATTAAAGTCTTAAATTAATACACATAAACTAAGCCCACACAAAAAAACAAATTAAAATTTGATTTTTGTAGTTTGTTCATCATAATATTACATGAGCTATAAAGTGGATTGAAGAAAAAAAAAAACTAAAATGCACGTCTGTGAATTCATGTATGAAGCTGTTTCGGAAATTAAATTTTTATACTAAAATATCACGTGAGTAATAATAATAATGTGTAGGAAGAATTTACGAGTACCCTACTAACATATAAATGTGTAAAAAAAACGATGATTTTGCAAAAGTTACAACAAATTAATGTAATTATGTATCTACTTTTTTGTTGTACATGATTTACTAAAATAAGATTCGCCATGCGTACACATAAATGTTTCAGCAGGGAAGATACATGTTGCACGGTATAAACACAAATTCGAGTGTTAAAAATATTATAATGGTTTAAGTGTCATATTGAACCAAAAAAAAAAAAAAAAAAAATTGTCTAGAAAATAAGAAACACTGTTTCACGCATATACATAGAACATAAATATTTGTGTATATAATGTTTAGTTATTATTATTGTTATTATTGTTATTATTGTTGTATTATATATTATGTACTCCGTTGGTATTTATGAGGTTGTAACTATCTTTATAAAGACATATATTCTATTACGGATATTTTGGTGTAAAAAAAATATTTTATTTCCATTCAATTCACTCATCCTAAACAGAAACAGAAAACATTTTCGCTAACTATAATATTTGTAACACGACATTAATAAAAAAAACTGACTCTATGGTATTGTTGCAAACAAACAATAGCATTATCGATACGTTATTACTGTTGCCATTAGTATCATTTGAAATCAGAAGAATGAAAAAAAAAAATACGAAAATAGGCGTATCATCAGATTGACAATATTGCACGTTGTATTTATAAACGAAACAAAAAATTGATAGCAAGATTTTTGTCGGTTAAAAACATTGTGTTTTACTGTGTGTATACGAGTTCACCCTTTTTTGCACGTACGGAAAAATAATTAACTACTTACCACGTTTTTTAGGATGATGTCCGTGACAACGAAATACCAACTATATAACTATATAAATATATACACATGTCTAAATAATAATAATGTGTTAATAATATTACTTCCACACCAGACCAATTGTTGTGACCAATAAATTCGAAAGACGATCATTAATTTTATTCAACGTCCATTTAACAATAATTATATTGTACCGTTATTGTGTCAAAAGTTATATTACAGAATCGTAGTAATTGATACAATAGGTTTAAATGATTGTCATTATTTTCGGTAAGTACCAACAAGTCGACACAGATATAGACGCTTTTCGTCGAAGTCAAATATCTGTGTACCGTCACAGCGAACGGTAAGGCCCGAATTGGCTACACCTGAGACTTTTAACAATGTCGGACAGCTGGAAAATGAATTTACGAGTGAAAAAAAAAACAGAAACATTTTTATAGAATATTTTCGATCGATTTGTTTAAATAATTTAAGTTTAAAAAGCAGCAATTTGCATATAATAAGATTCAAAATTGGAAATTAATTATAAATAATTTGATGCTTTCAGTGTACGAGATATACGTTGTTGTAAGGTGAAAATAATGTGAATATCAAAAACACATAAAATGTACACGAGAATGCGACTAGTGTAATTATTGCAAAAAACCTGTTTTGATTTTTCGTAATTAGATCAAATTTTTATCGAAAAAAATTACACGATTTTTAAATTTTTTAATTTGTAACGTAGAAGACCAGATAATCAACAGATGAATATGAAGCGTAGGTATTTATTTAAATCACCTTTTAAAATGATGTTTAAAAGATCATATAGAAATATAGTATAATATGAGCATTAACTATAATATATAATAATATGTTGAAACTTGTTCATCGACTTTGCCGGTCATAAAATTAGATAATGTGTACAGTTTAAGTAAATCTATTGAAAATAATAACTAACATTAAGTACCCACTTTGTTGGCATACATATTATATTTTTCGAAACAATATAGTTACTGTAATCTAATAATTAACACGACATTAAAAATGTAAAATTAGGAATCGAAAATGAGAACAGAAAAACTATAAATTACCAGAAAACGAGTCTTTATAATTAAGGCAATTAGACAGAAATGAAAATACAAGTAGACAGATCGAAAGTTTAAGCCTGAAAACGTGACTTTGGCCAAATAATATTCACTTCCGCTTTTTGAAGTCATTTGCGTTTTAATTAACTAACTTCGTCAAAATAATGTTGCAAAATTGTGCAAATACTTAACGCTATATGGGTCGACAATACAATATATTTATGCATATTGCATATAACTCATGGAAGTTTAGTGAGTGTATATATATTATATATATATATATATTGTAATACAGTTTTTTAAAGGAAATCATCTTACGAAAAATCTATAACTCGTAGTTATATAGCGTTAACTGTAGGTACTACGTGTTTCTTAAACATGCCATTCTTACTAAAACCACAGGCCATAAAGAATATATTATATTTAATACATATATTATGCGATTTTATATAACTATATTAAAATATTTCTGAATAAGTTACAAGTAGAAAACGCTTAATCGCACAGAATAATTAATAATTATTTTATTTTTTTTTTGTAAACAAATTAGCTGAAATTATTATTATGACTGTAATGTGCCCATTTAATAACTTATATTAAGTAGTACAATACTAATAATAGTGGTTCAGAGTATAACGATTTAAAAATATACAGATTTGTATACTCACTTCATAATCAGCGAATCAAACTTATAGCAATAAACTCGACATTTAAAATATTACTATAGCTTTAGTATTTTATGTAAACATCAAATAAATGTTTTAATACTTCAATTCTGACTACAGTGCTATTAAAAAATAGCTAGTAGAAAAAATACATTTCACAGTAATTTTATAATTATTATTCTTAGAAATTAAACACATAAACACAGATAGTATCTGATCACATCCAATAACGTCATTAATATTGATTTTTTTTTAATGAATTTTTATTCATAGATTATTAATACTGATTTTTACAAACTATAACTATAACAATATGGTAACATGCACTTATTTAAATGTGTTTTATAGTATTATAAAATGTTTATCTTGATGGTATAAAAAAATGCAAAACTTGAAATTTACCATTTATTTTCCATTTTAATTTATAATAATTCATAAAGTTATAGGAAATTTAAATTATTTACAAAATTAAACTAATTAAATTATTTTCTTAAGTATTTTACTGTTAATACATTTATTTATTTTTATTGTTTTTGAATACAATATTACATAATGTTGGGAATAATTGAAAAATATAATTTTTAAATAAAAAAATGTTTTTAACGGAGACAAACATAGTGGGACGTCCTGTATTTTAAAATCAATTTATTTGGTCTACATTGCAATTGAATATTAAAGAAATACTATTAAAATAACGTATCTATCATGATATCAAAATTAAAATACAATATTTTTAGTTTGAGCCCGTTATTAAGTATCAACGAAAAAAAACAATGTAATTAAACAACCTACAATATAAAATGTCAACTCCGAGGTAATTAACTGTATAACCATTATAAAATCATAAAAATAACCGAAGTTAAAAATAATAAAATAGTTTTTTTTTTTTGTTATTTTATTAGACTAATTAAGAAATAAGTATCTAATTTATGAAAGATACATACACGAGTACATTAATTCTTTTTTTTTACTTTTAGTATATTTTTATAAAGTTCATAATATTTTAGCACATGTTTAACTTCTATTAGTTTAACAAAATAGACATAATGTTAAAATTTTATGTTAACAGTCATTAATTCAAGACCAATTCATGGTTTTTTCATTATCTGCAATAAAATCTATAATACGTAATCAATTACTATTAAAATATCTATTACTTATTAAAAGCAATGAAATCAAATTTTAAATATTTGTATAACATATTTATGTGAAATATCACAAATTAGTTTGTGATTTATCATTATGTATTATAAATTAGGTACAACCCTGCATGTATGTGAATATTCCCGTTAGAGTAATTTTCATAAATTAAAAACTAAAGGTGAAATTCTAAACACAATAAATATACTTATATTTAACAACGATACGAATTTAGGTACTGCACATTTGCATACGTATGGGCTTCAATGCTTTATTATAATATACCAACAAAATTCAAACATAACAGTCATTCAAAAAGTTTACAAATGTTTAGTACTATTAACTTAGTTTGTAAACTTTTCGGGTCACATGACCAGATATAATTTATACGGAAAAACTTAATGGGAATAACTGCAAAGTTTTCAAAATAGAAAAGGGTTTCTAAACACCTAAAAACGATTTAACATGTTTTACCTCTTTGAAAAGTGGTATCCTGATTCCGTTCAATTCATATTTTTCGGGAATTTTTTTTTTTATCATCATTATTATTTCTGATCAAAACTTTATTATTAAAACTTGTAGAGCCGACCACTAAAACAACGGCAACAACAACTGCATCAATAACGAACAACACGAACGTCAGTTAATCGGGATAATTTAATTTCATTCGTTAAACAAATTACGTTTAACTAATATTTAATAATATAATATACTATTTATCTACAATCAATATATTGAATACTATCCGTACCTTATATCCACCACACTTGTGACAAGCGATCACGTCTCCGTTGTGTTTGACGGTGGTTTTATGCACATTTCCATTACCAAAATTGCTGTAGTATGTCATCGTACGACATTTGGGATGATAAAAATAAAAAATACACCAAAATCGACTACACTATACGTTTAATAAACTGCTCTATTTTATAAATAATATAGCATCTATTATTTATATATATATATATATATATATCGATACTGATCGTGCTCGATGAAATGAAGTCGCGACTGGGTCAACACGATATTCTATAGTTTTTTAACAATTTACGATTTGTTATAATTATGATATTAAAATGTATGTTGACGGTACACGGTACACCCGACCCGGTTGCGTACCTCAGACGATTATAATATAATAATATACGACACGACTCGTGAGTTTGTCATTCGGAAGACGATTGTAAGCGGTGACTTTTCGCGGACGCGGCGACCAACACGCTCGCCGTCGGACTGCGGACTGAACCGAGTCCACCGCCGCGTGATTCTCGCGCGCGTTTTACGGTCCGGAGACCGCGACGGCCCAATAATAATATGTACACAAACATATATATATATAATGTAGGTATATATCACAATCATAGGCGTGTACTGATTTTTATCATGAAATATATAACTACTCAGTCTTAACAATTAAATAAATATATAAGATGTGTACGTGCGGCGTGTGTGTGTGAGTGTGTGTGTGTGTGTGTGTATGAATATATATAAAAAATAAATACTGGTTGAGAAATATGTTTTTATATTCATTTCGAATAAGTTTAACATGAATAGAACTAGGATTTGTGTATGTATTAGAATAATAAATAGTACCTAATATACGATTTTCGGCTGTATTTTTTTTTCAACAGATGACTATTTTGTGTATATGTTTATTTAGAACATACAATTATACGTAGTATAATTAAAAAAATATATAAATGTTTCTACCTATACAATAAAATTCAAGATTTTTCAAATAATATTATCATCAGTCGATGATATTTCATGTAGGTATACCTCCTACTACCTACTTAAATTTTGATAACAAATAGGAATACAACAACGTAATACCACCGGATCCTAAAAGCTAATATATAATATTATATCAAATTATTCTCCAAAAATATGTTTTTTCTTATTATGATTTCGTAGGACCACTGCGGCGAAACCATAACTGAACTCGAATGAATAATGAATAAAAATACTTGTCTTTCATAATTACGAAACACGATTCGGAACAATCAAACGGATTTGTTACAGATGATTCTTTGTCGTGTTTTTTCTGAAATAAATGTTAAGTGTGCAATCGCATTGGACTCGTTTCTTTCGAAAAAAATAAATTATCAAACCTATGCGCGACCGAACTATTACTTTGAGCTGCAATATCATATCTGCCGACGCAGTGTTTCGTACTATCTGCATTTTACGACAAAAATGGTGTACAGGCCAAATGTTCACGCATTCATCAGAAAGAGAGAGTCGGATAGTCGGCACCTAGTCTGTACATAATAATATTTCGCGAACGTACTTACAAGGGCAACGGGGACACGGATTTGTCAGAGTACAGATTACTTTTGTGTTCGACAGAAACGTGATATCGTGCTCGGACATGAAACATTTTCCAATACCGAGTTGGTTTTTGAAACGTATTTTAAGTTTTTAAACATTTTATAAATATTAAAAAATTAATTTTTTGATTGCAACAAAGGGCTGTTCAAATAAATGAATCTAATTTATGGTTATAAATCGGTCCATACACTGCATTAGTAGGCACTTCTGTACACTGGTAAAGTATGGCACGCAACAATTACTTCTCACAACCTTAATATTACGTATAATGACGTCGCAACGACCGAACGTACATTAACTTCTGCTCTGCGCACACCAAACTTTGGACAAACGAAATAACTTAAAATTACATGTACTTAATACCTACATAGTAAGTAATAAAAATAATATAATATTTATAAAACGATTTCACATCAAATTTTATATCGCATCTCATAGTATCATATTGTAATTTATTATATATTTATTTCATTTTTATTTTTTTTATTTTTTTACGGCGTACAAAACCAAAAAAAAAAAAAAAATACAGCAATATATTCATTGTATAGTAATAATATAATAATAATATGCGCGTATAGCTAAATGTGTTTTTTGTGCGGTAAAGATACGTCTAAAAAACAACGAAAAGCAATAACGTAACACATAACAATAAACAGTTACTGTTATCGGAGCGACGCGCATACATGCGATATAATAATACACGTGATAACTCGTATTACTCTTCGTGAGTGTAATCGACGACGCGCAACGAAGCCGGAGATCATAGCTACCATAGTCTGTACTTATTATGTTTTACGACGGGTAAAGTTTGTTTTTAATATATTATCTACCTAATAATACTGTATAATATGCACTTAATGCGCGTGTGTGTTTTTTTTTATATATATAAATCGTGTTATTGTCTGTTTTATAGCTTATTTATTATACTCGTCCAAATAAAATGATGTAATCGACAGAAATCATAACGTACGAAAACCCTTCGCCCTTTGGAGTACTACACGTCTGCGCGACTATTGTACGGATGAAGTGAAATAATTTTCAAATATTGTTTTACCATTTCGGTATGTATAACATGAATAGTTTAGGTATAACGGATAACTAACACACAAAATGTCAATAGATGTACGGTAAACTTGCCAAATTTAATAAGATTTGGAAGTATTACTGGCAGGTACCAATCTACTTGTTATATTTTGTAATATTTAAAAGCATGCTTTGATGTTATACATAGTGTTTAAAATTGAGTGAATGTTAAGTGTTTAAGCGCACTCTAATGCAATATTAGATTTCAAAAAAGGTCATAACATTATATCCAAGTTATGAATTGAATTCATCTAATACATAGGTACACGTGCGTCTCTGTGGGTTTGTAGATAGCTTTATAAGTATATAAACTGAATTAAGTATAATATACTTCTTATATATATAAAAAATATACCAAGGTAAGCCCTATGTATTACACTAATAACTTAGTACAAAAATAAATAACTACGTTATTCTCGATATTATTACAAGCGCACATTTTTTGATTTAATATTATACACTAAAATGATGCGGGTAAATATTTCACTTTGAGATTTTTAAAAAAATGAAATTGAACACACTATGATATATATAAAATCAGTACTATATATATATAATGGTGTAGAAATGGTCCAGTCAACTAGAAAGAGTGTAAAGTCTGTACTAGAATCAAATATCAGAAAATAAACTAAAAATTTTTATTGCTACTCGTTTATCCTAATGCGCTAAAAATACCTGATTTTACAGTATAAACTCTTTATATAATGCGTATACGTAGAAGAATAGTATACATATATAATTTTTACAGATATGTTTAATACCTATACTTTAGTCGTTGCACATTTCGTCTATTATAAAAGCACCTAAAAATGTTTTAAACCTTAGTTTTTTTATCACGTGTTCTATTAAAAAAAAAAAAGATTTCCTTAATGATATTATCTTAAAACTCGTCTTGTCCATATAAGTATATAAGTAAGTTTTAGTACAATTAAATGTATTACGAGTACAACGTATTAAAGTACGCTTATGTGCTTATATGCAGTGCATTTCTTTAAAACTAAATTATAACAAGCTTATATAGTATTTTATATCACAGAAAAAAAAACGAATTTATAAAACAGCGATAACTGTATACTACAGCAGTACACAACAAAATTAATAATAATATAGGGCATGACATTCAAATATTGAAGTCTAAAAAAAAGTTTTTTTATAACATTAAAATGTTCACATCAGTTATTAAATACTAAAACACAATACACTATTACTACACAATAACAAAATAATATAACTGTCAACTTGTTTTTATTGTATTAAAAATTTATGGTCATCCGAACGTTTAAAACTATAACTGTAAAAAAAAATATAATACACACACATATTTATATAATTATATATACAATATATACAATATAATATAAACAACATAATTTAAGCAAACATTTATTATTTTAATCATTTATGCAATTTAATATTTATTAATTTTTCACTTTTAATTTTTAAATTTATAATATAATGTTGTTGGTTTAATTATTAGTTAAGTATCTATACGATTTAATACAACTATGTCAGTGTATAACATATTTTATTCCTATTGAATGTCTTTCATAACCTACCAAGAGACAATCTTATTTATTTTATTTATTTTGAAGGCAAACTGTTGAAATTAGATAAACATAGTTTATAAAATTTACCAAGAAGTTAATAATTAATGCTCTGAAAAAAGAGTATTACTATAGTTTCAAAAATTTAAGTGAATTGTAACTAATGAACATTAAAAGTGTTTCTTAAATGAATTAAATTTGGCAAAAATTATTTATAAACACGTTTTTATATCACACATTCTAGCTGAATTTTGTAACAAATAAATGGATTAAATGTCTGCCTAATTTAAATAATTTGACTCTTAATTGGAATATGTAAAAAATGTTTTTATTATAATTTTTTTGAAACAAACAATGACAGCAAATATTACAATACATTAACACAAACTTAATTAGAAACTTAAAAATGTATTGAATATTTTTAATTGGTTCTGACAAGTACATACCTACAGAAATTATAAATTTACATATTTTATTTGTTAACATTTTATTATTCATCTGAATTGCAATATTTGCGATAATGGTACGCTAATTTAAAAACATTTATTTCAATATTTCGTACCATGAGGCATACAATTTACTACACTCAAAAGATTTAATGACATTTTTAACATTTTTAAATAGTGTCGATTATAATAAAATAGGTAGGTATATTAAATAGCTACTAAAACTGTATAAAATAAATAGGTACATTTTATACCCATTAAATACAATCTATCAGTTGTACTTTTATTAGGCGTTTCTATAATAATATTATATTAATTTGTATTCATTTCGTATTTAATCTCAATATGTTATATTTTTCTAATAACTACTCACATTATGACAAATATGTGTATTATTTAAACTGATACAGAACAAAAGCTTATGATAATTTAATTTTATGTCAATGGAAACTGCACAATTGTAGTAAACAGTGTGTTGTTGATACGATAAAAAAAAATAAATATATAACAAAATAAATTATATTTTTACTTTTCTTTAATGTTGTATAATTTAAAATTTAAAAATACTAAAACTTACAAACATCACATGCAATTGTACAAATAACATTTTATACATATTGTACTTTGCATAGATTACTTTTTTTTTATTATTTACATCGTATAACTCAATTATGTTTCCATTTATAAACTGCATTTTTTTTTTCAATTTTATTTGTCTATTTACCAAATAAATATATTATATTATGAATAAGGAATACATTTTTCTAATGAAACTTTTATATTTTGTAATTATTATAATTTATTGGTGATCATATAAAGTATAACAACATAGGTATTTATACACATTTCATAGTTTTGCAAGATACCTATATATTAATCATATTTTTGTAAACTTATTAAACTATTTATTCCCTTTTTTTTAACACGCCATGCCCAGATTTTCAAAAAATCAATTTTATAAAAATGTTTATTTATAAATCATTTAATTGAATTACTAAGTTGATTAAAAAATGAATTAGCACAAAATAAAAAAGTATGGAACGAACTAAATTTTTTAAATGAATTGTAAAATGTTAGCAATTAATTTTTCTATTATTTATAATACGCCATAAACATAGAATGAACAAGAGTAGATAGTTCAAGATGAGCTATAAATGAACGTCACACGTCGTACACTGTCATAATAATAAACCAAATTAATTGACATCAACATCGGAAATACAAAATACATTACTCAAGTTGTAATAAGTGATGTATTAATTTTTTGTAGATGTAATTGAATGTTGATATTAGTAAGTAAGTATATAAAATTCGAAAAGTTGACAATAGATATTAATTTTTGCGGGATCGAGTAAACTTATAATATTATACTTACATAATGAATTTTACTCACATATTTTTGGAATGACACTATTTGATTTCACATAATTTATCAAATATTACGTGGCATCAAAATTATTATTTTAATTTTGTTTAAGAGTCTTAATCTGAACCAAATGTATTATATAGAATATACATTGACATATTATGTATCAAACATATTATATTGAATAAAACTTTTTTTTTACTTGTCACAACATTTTAAATTAAAGGTTCTTTAGTGTAAAAATTATCAACGATCATACCAAAATAAATTATTTTTTTTAACATTAATTGAAATATCTGTGAAATAAAAGTAGGTATTTAAAAATAACTGATTAACTTAAATTTTTATACAAAGTATCTTTGTAGTTAAGACTAATTAAATATCATAATATTTTTATTTTTGAATATAAATTTCACATTTTATCATATTATACTTGTATTTTTATTAGATACAAACTTAACAATTTTTACAGGTTAATCCTTATTATTTTACATGGTGCATTCATAATTTTAAAGTTTTTATTATTTTGAATACTTATATTTTAAATTTTATATTCAGAAGCAAAATATTTTTCTAAATATTTCGATACATAAAAATCAAAATTTTAACTAGTAATTCATTAGGTAATTATTAATTAGTATATTTAAATAAAAAGGTATTTAAAGCTTAGAATTTTAAAAAGACCGAGCTACAGAAAAGTGAACATTATTTAGTTTTAACTCATGTTTAACTCTATTTCACTCATCAAACCTTTAATACATATGAGTTATAACTTAATAATATGAATCTCAATTATTACGCACCAAATTAATCTGTAAAATATTCTATTTCAGAATATAAAATTAAAAATACATATTAATGTTAAGAATAAAGAAAAGCTTAAAAACAAAAATAAAGCATATACATATTGATTTAAGATAGATATTCGATAACAAAGTAGGAATACAAAATATTATATTTTTGACGTTAATTAACTACTAACAATTAACATTTACCACAGTTTCAATTTTAAAAATATCTCAACTTAAAATATGAATTTCATCTGAAAACTTTTTATTGATATTATTTATTAATTTATCATGTTTTTTAATTATAGTTTATGCATATTATTACAAATATAAAATATTCATTAAATTTTTACAGTAATGCATACAAATATGGTTTACAACAGGTATTTACGAGTAATTTGGCTTTAACCTTCTGACAAATTGGCAGTTATAAAATTTGACAGTGAAAATAGGTAAGTGGCATGATAAAATCTTACCCTTTAATTATAGTGATATCACAGAACAAATTAAATAACCTTCATCTATTATGTGATGATATCATAATACATTTTTTTCACATAGAAATTTTGATAAATTTGACTAAAGCAGCAGCATACAAATTTACAAGCATTATTCATAATATTCTTACCCATTTTATAAATGTTTTCTACACATAATATCAAGAACAAGGATAGCTACTTTAAAATTTAAAACCTAAGTAAACAAACTAATAAAATATAATATATCTAATCTTAAAATAAATAAATGTTTGATAAATTAGATAGATAACTACTAAAACCTTTTATATAATTTATTTTACAATAATTTCACATTGTGATTGCAATATAAAAAAGTCTAAATTTATTTATGACAATAACCTATAACAAAAAAAAAAATGTTTATAAAAGATTTACCAACATATTATTTAAAATAATTAACTTTATTTTTATAATTTTACAGTTGTAGTCAACCAATCTTCATAAAATCCATTCAATTGATAAATAAAGTAACCAATATAGCTAATAATAATATTCTTAAAAATTCTTGGAAAAATCCAGTTGTATTTAGTTTACTAAATCAAATATATAATAGTGAAGTAAATATGATAAACTTAATGACAATATTTAGGACAAATTGTACAAAAAAATAATAAAAAGTAAATAAAATTATTTATCTGTGTAGATTAATTCAAATAATTTATATTTTAAAATAATAAAAGTAATTTAATTTATTTTCAGTCAATAGTATATTAATAAAAAATGAAATAAAATACTTGTTTCTAATAGATAATAACAGTAAAACTATTAAGCGTTAAAAAAATCAAACATTCATAGTTAAATTTTACAGTTATTTAAATAAGTAATTTATTGATACGTCAGGTCTTTGTTAAACAAAATAGTCCAAAATCTAAGGTTGACAAAATATAAATCATAAATATTCATTGAAATATTCATCATAAAACAGAATTACCATTGATTATAGAATAATCAATAATCTATTCTATAATCAATGGAATTACTAATAAAAATGAAAATATATGCATTTAATTAGATAAGGTGTAATGCATCATATGATATGAATTTGATACATAAAAGTATAGTAAGTAGTATAGGGGATTTCATAATAAGCATAGTGAACCACTATTAGTGGTGTAAAAATAAACCGTGAACTATTTAATATTAAAACAATATTTAACTTTAAATAAATAATAAAGCTTATTAATCCTACACCTTGCTTAATATTGAAACATTTAACAAATTGGACATAAAATCAATCTACCCAATTTTAATTTGATTTCTTGTAATTCACCTTAATTTGTATCATACAATTTACAGAAGCATAAAGAGAAATTAATTTCAATTTCATAATATTAAATATTTTAACAAATAAATAGCAGTTATTCTATTAATAACACAATGCTCCTACATAAAGTTTTGCTTTAATACACTTTAAAATTATCAACTTACAATATAATAATAATAATAATACTGAATATACAAAATGTTTAAGAAAATAAGCAATGTGTTTCATAAATTTGAGATCTTAAATAATACATGTTTTAATAGCAATTTTGAAGATTTTAACATATTTCCATAGTAGCAATTGAGTATTGTACTGTTGATGAATATATTAGTTATCATATTCGTTATGTACACCATTCTGAAAAAAAAAATAAATATTTATTATTCAATAGATATAATCATAGAACGGATAAAACAAAAATATAAACTTCAATTGTATATAAAAAATAAACATATAAACATAAAGAACCATGCATATTTAGTAAATATATACTAGAAATATTACTTCATGCAAAGGAATTTTAGTTAGATGATATTATATTAATATAGTATAAATTGGTTTAATTTGATGGAAAAAGTTTTATGAAGTTTAATTAATTAATTGTTACAGAGTATGAGATTAAAAATTTAAATGAAAATATAACTACATTATACAGTAATAATCTACATGCCGGCTTACCAATATTGCAATGTAGTGAACGCTGTCAGTAATAAATCTGCTTTCATGTTTGCTATAGAATTGGATAAAAAAAATTTACAATGCACATTCAATCACACTAACACTTGATTTAAATTGATAAGCTAATCACTTGACAGTTATTTACTTCCCAAGTCTTGTATAGTTTACAAACAGACAAGTAGCCCAAGTTGTTTGGCCACAATATATAGCATAATTATTTTATTACCCATATGTATTAATATTAGACAGCTAGATACAATAGTCTAAGATCAAATAAATAGTTGCAAAGTGTGTATAACAATTTAATACATTTAATTTTACCAATACCATTGTATAGTCGCCTCTATATGACCCATTTATTATGTTTTACGCTGACTTACTATAATACCTACCTACTTTAAATACAAGTCTTAATACTACACTGCCATGAGGCCTACCTAAAGCATATCTTGAGGAACGGAAATTAGTGTAATATCTAAATTTTGAGACCAAGATGGGAAGAGGGGACAATGGTGCTTACCTTAAACCGAGTTTTGATCTGTGTCATAATTTTGTCCATTGTGGTGGCCGCATTAGTGTCAGTCATAGGTAACCGGAAGGAGAACAGGTTTTTTGTCCTGTCACATAACACATTCACATTACTAAATAATAATTAATTTAATAAATCAATAAATCCATAACTTTTTTTTTTTTTTTTTATTGAACCAACAGAATTCTACTTACTAGTAATACTTTTATTACAACTATGACCACAACGCTGCATGTCCACAACACACCAACAGGGGTACGATCCCGACTGCGGAAATAGAGTAAAAAGTAAAATTTGCGTTAACTAGTGAACGAGAAATTATCTAGTGACTTTCGGTCAAAAATTCAAACGCGATTGTTGAAAATCAAACGATAACAATAACAAACACACACTTGGCATTATCACACGTCCTGAGACATTCGCGTGTGCTCTGTGGTGAAATCGGCCAACGAAACGTTTTGCTCCGGACCGGTTGCCAGTGTGACCAGGAACGGCGAGACGATATAGATATTATATTATCATTATAGTGTTCACCACGCTCTCCGCCATATAACTATGGCACTGCATCAACCAACGACGATGAAGACGTTACAACTACTAAGTAGGTAAAGTAATTAGACTAAAAATATTATTGTTTATCACGATTGATTGATTCCGAAATTCCGTTTGCTCTATATCCGTTATAAATTATATATATTGTGTGCGAGTTCTGTGTAATAGCGTCGTTAAATTACAGAGGTAGCAATTGAACCCCCCTGATGTTATCCTAAAAAGCTAAGATAAAATTTTATCACCTCCACTAAAATTGAATCCTTTACATTTTTGAAGTTGTAAGTATGATGTTATTTTCTTTAAATATTTGACATTTAGACGCATTATTGAAATGTATATTATGTAACAAAAGTATTATTATTGAATTTTTACTCATTATTTTAAGCTAATATTTAGGTTACATAATATATTATTGTTATTTGTAAGTTCTCCGACAAATTTGATTGACAATTCAATAAAAAACCCCATACTGATATAAAATTATCAATTTTAGATTTTGAGCAAACCGATAAATGTATTAATTTTACTATGAGTGTGGTTTTTTTTTTTTATGGATGAGTATCTACACCATAAATTGTCAATAAAATGATTTAATTTCAAAAAAAGTGGGAGATTTTAGATATAAAATTGAATCTTGTTTGTAATTTGAAGAAGTCAAACTTAAAAATTTCCAGTACTCATTTTTATAATCAGGAAAAACAAACAAATAATTTAATTGTTTATTTTAATTAAATAAATTTAACGAATTTTATTATATTATTATTAAAATATTTTAGGTTATTGAATCATTGAGAAATTAGTGATTCGAACATTGGTTATAGTACTTACTTCAGTCTTGATTACGGATTTATAGACATTCTTTTTCACTTTTCTGTGCTATACAATTTTAGACTATACTATTTTTATATAATTAGGCTCTATAGTTTATATACGATTTGTCATTATTTATTATTAACTCCTATTAAAACAAAAATACCTCATTGGAAATTAATTAAATTAATTTATTAGATAATTTTATTAATAATTGCATACCAACTAATATATCTTAGTCTATTATATTATTTAAGATTTTTAATAAAATGTACACAAGTAACTGTTTTCCTATTGAGTTTATACCCATTAGATTAAAATGCTGTTTTAATGAAAATATTGCCTATTTATTTTGTATTTAAGTGTAGTAATATAAGTACATACGAAATTATTGAAATATTAAAAATATAATATATTGGTAGGTAGTGTTTTTTTTTTCAAAAAATATTTTTTCATAATCTGGTAATGCTTTATTTTATTTTTACCTCTCCTTTCATCCCTCCATCCATACATATAACAATTCCTTTAGCTATTATTTCCATAAAAAAAATATAAACAAAAATATTCCGTCGTGGTTTTAGATATTTTGTTGATACTTAAATACCGGAAACCTATGTCATTGCGAAAATTATTTTTTAGCCAAAATAAAAATATTATTAATTATTTTTGTTAGTGCATGTAGTAATAATGATAAAGTCAAAGCTAACTTTTTGTATAATATTTACTTTTAACGCATGCTGGATTTGTATTATAAATTATTAATACTAATAATTTTTAAATATAATAATTGTTGATAAATAAATATTATTACTTAGAGAGTATACCTAGATTAATCGTTTAACTACAAAAAATAATTACTATTTAAGTTGAACAATTACGTTGTAATATTTAAAGTAATTTAAATTGATCAATACTCTATTGGGCAATCTAGTCCAGAGCCTAATCGTAAAAGTCCTTAAGATCTATTTAGTGATTAACAAATAACAGAAAGCTATGTAAACACATCGTTTAATAATTCTTATTGAGATAGCTCAATTGTAGTCTATGAATGATTTATTTAATCATTTCATGCAAACTTAAATTATATAATATCGTTTTAATTGTTAATAATAAATATTCATAAGCATATAAAAAAGTTATTTAAGTTATTTTTAGTTACTTATTACTTATTAGTTATACAATAAAACAAAATATTTGAATTTTCAATAATTTGTTATAAATGTATTTTCAAAAATGGTTTCATAAAACCATTTTTGGTTAGAATATCGTATAGCCGTTATACATACGAATACAATTTAATCATT